ATACGCAGAGGACATGACCTTGCTTGCTGCAAGTGAAGACAACCTGAAGCACTTACTGATGAAGATTAAAGACTACAGCCTGCAGTATAGATTGCACCTCAACATAAAGAAAACAAAAATACACACAACTGAACCTACAAGTGGCATCATGATAAATGGAGAAAAGATTGAAGTTGTCAGGGATTTCATGTTACTTGGGTCTACAATCAACACCAATGGAAGCAGCAGTCAAGGCATCAGACTACGCATTGCACTGGCAAATCTGCTGCAAAAGACCTTTAAAATGCTGAAGAGCAAAGTCTCTTTGAAGACTAAAGTGCGCCTAACCCAAGCCATGGTATTTTCAGTAGCCTCATATGCATGTCAAAGCTGGACGATGAATAAGGCAGACCAAAGAAGCGTTGATGCTTTTGAGTTGTGGTGTTGGTGAAGAATACTGAAAGTGCTATGGACTGCTAGAAGAACTAATAAATGAGTCCTGGAAGAAGTGTAGCCAGAATGCTCCGTGGAATCAAGAATGGCTAGACTTCATCTCACCTATTTTGGTCATGTTGTCGGAACAGATCATGCCCTAGAGAAGGGTAATTTTTCAATGAAAAATTGGAAGGCCCTCAATGAGATGGACTGACACAGTGGCTGCCACAATGAGCTCAGGTAGAGCAAGGATTGTGAGGCTGGCGCAGGACTGGGCAGTGTTTCGTTCTGTTGTACATAGGGTTGCTATGAGTCAGAGCCGACTAGACAGTACCTAACAACAACAACAACAGGGGCCCAAGGCAGACTGTGATTTTGTTCTGGGCCGACTTGACTCGATGGCAAACAACAACAACAACAACATAGAAAGAGAAGAAATGGAAAAAAAAAAAAATGACTTTAAGCACCAAACCAAAACTCACTGCTATGAAGTGGATTCCAATCCATAGCAACCCGTTAGGTTTCCAAGGCTATAAATCTTTACTTAAGTTGATTGTCCATCTTCCTTTCACAGAGAAGCTGGTGGGTTTGCACCACCAACCTTCTGGTTAGCAGCCAAATGCCTTATTCACCACGCCATGAGAGCTCCAACTTTGAGCACATCATATACTAATTCCACCAGTAAAAGCAAGAAAGGAGGCAGTAGTAATTTTCATGCAGTGTTACAAGGTGTCATGTAAAAACTTAACAAGCTTACCTTGTATTTTTGAGCTGATATTATGGTAAAGATTTCTAAAAGAAGGGTGCCAGATGTTTGGACCAAGGTGTTATTTTAGCACTTGCCATAGAAGCACCGTAGATATGCTACTACACGGCTTCAGAGCCAATAGATCCTTTCCCTTCTCAACTTGACTTTGAGTGAAAGGGCATTTGGGCTACTCTGCTCTGCACTAGTGCTGTGCCTGCTGCCAGGTGTGTGACAGGTGATGCCAATAGACATCTGGAACAAACTGATGACTCTCTGGAACTAGGTGGAGGAGAATGGAGTGCTGGTGGGATAGGCTCTGGCTTTCCACGGAGAACAATGCAGAAATCTTGTTCTGTGTTTTTCTTTGGTGCAGTGACTATTTGGCACACAAGGATGGGGTGAAGTTCTTCAACGCCAAATGTGGGAAGAACACACCTGCAACAGTTTAGTTTCTTTCCTTAAATATGTATTCAAACCAATACTTTTTGTTTTATGGAGAGATGAGTCATAACCAGAAGTATGAAGTCAGTAGCATCCTCAGTCATCTTTAACCTCATCCCCAGCTCTAGGTAGACACAGACCATCGTAAGAGGAATAGTCTCAAACAATAAAGATTTCTTTTATGTTGTCCAGGGCAGAAAGCATATTTATTATGAATACCTTGATGGTCACCTTTCAGCTACATGCATTAATATACAGGAAGCCATGGTTTGGATAAGAAGAGATTCATTTTCTATTTGGCCCTGGAGTTCGATTGATTTCTTTTGGCAGTGAATTTCTTCTCCTAATCACATTTTGCTTAAGCTAGCCACTCCTTAGAAGGAAGGTTGGGCAATCTACTTCCTTAGTGATACCCCTCAGAAACCCAAGGAGGGGTCGCTATGAGTTGGGTCTGACTCAAGGGCACATAACAACAACAACAGAATCAAAGTGGACTTGAATTCTCACAGCACAAGTTGGATGTGCATTGGAGGGGCTTAAGTGGGAGGCATGCCAGCTCCAGCTTTAAAAATAATCCACAAGATAAACCAGACTGAACTATTGTAATTACTAGCAGTCAAGATCATTATCATAAAACCAGCCTTGAATATGGAAACTTTCTTTTGAGAACCCTTCACATTATAGATGTAATCCCTTATAGCCTCCTATTTTAGCCCTTGAGTGGCACAAATTGTTAAACCCTTGGCTGCTAATTGAAAGTCTGGCAGTTTGAGTCCACTCAGAGGCGCTCTAGAAGAAAGGCCTGTACTTACTTGTGGAAGATCACAAGATCAAAAAACCGAACTCACTACCATGGAGTCAATTACAACTCAGAGCAACCCCCATTGGGGTTTCCGAGGCTGTAAATCTTTACAGAAGTAGATTGACTCCTCCCATGGGGCAGCTGGTGGGTTTGGACTGTCAACCTGCTGGTTAGCAGCAGAATGTCTTCCCCACTATGCCACCAGGGTACCCTCTGAAAAATCACAGCCATTGAAAACTCCAGGAAGCACAGTTCTGCTCTGACACAAAAAGTGTCACCTTGAGTCTGTATCGACTCCATGGCAACTATTTTACTGAGGGATAAATTGAGGCAGAATCCAAAGAAGCCTTGGGCAAACAAGAATACGCCCAAGACCAAGGATAGGTCTGCCTGAAAATAATCTTACATATGTACTTGTGCTTCAAAATTATCCACATACATTACAAAAGTAACAGAGGACAGTGTTGGAGTAGCTTCTCAGAGACAACCAAACATCTTGAGGGAGAGAATCACCGGGCCTGTGGGCTCTGGACCATAGTCTTAGGAGACATCATGCTCAATTGGCACAACATAGTACATAAAAATCTTGTTCTACATCCTACTTTAGTGAGGTTTTGAGCAGCCATCTAAGACGCAACTATTGTTCTCTCATCTGGAGCAAAGAAGAGAGAAGAGAACCAAAGTCATGTGGAAACAATTAGTCCAAGGATACGATGGACTACGAAGACTTCAGCCTTCATGACCCCAAGACCAGAAGAACTAGATGGTGCTCGGCTACCAATACCAAACATTTGGAAAGGGATCAGAATTGGAGATCCTCATTAGAGTGGGAGGAAAAATGTGGAACAAAATTCAAAAACACAAAATTGACCAGAATTACTGGTTGGATAAAGACTGGTGGAACCCAAAGACTATGGCCCTGGGTTAGTTACCCTTCTAGCCTAGAAATGGACACATGTCCATGGATTGGTTCTTAGTCCAACAGTAGGAAGACCTACGTGCAGAACACCCACCCCAAGGCAAAACACCCACCTACTCTAGGAAGATGCACCCCTTAGATCAATCAGCCATGAGACATCAGAGGGGCAGGAGTCACATAGAGGGAAAGCTGGACAGACAGGAATGCATAGATACGGGCACAGGGAGTGGGTAGTCACAGGGAGGAGAGGGAAGAGTTTTTTTATGGTTGGGGATTGTAACCACTGTGAAATCAAATGTGCAAGAACTGTCGAATGTAAAACAAATTTGGTTTGCAAATTTGCACCCAAAGCACAATTAAAAAAAAAAAAACGACTTAGGTATGTCTCTGTGGGTAGTGTCTTCATGGCATTTCCTGGAAAGGTCAGAAGATGCTAGTGAACTCCAGGTGGCAATAAGATGCAGGTAGGATGGAAGTAGGGACCAATAAAGAAGGAGGAGGAGAAGACTTAGATGAGAGAGATGGGGGGAGGGGGGAATGTGTTGGGATCTGTCCCACTAGGAAACTCATTAAAGGCAGTGGCAGTCGGAGTCACAGCATATGGCTGCAGGGATCATGGCGGGAGGAAGGCTCTCAAGTGCCTGGAAAACTCTAGAGCTGGCAGAGAGGGCTTGTAAGAAGACGCTGTTTTCCGCGGATGGGAAGTGGTGGAGGCCTGACTTTAAGGGGAAAGACAAGTAAAAACATTAGAGTTCCCCTTCTCTATCATTTTTCCCCCTTTTGACATGCCTTTCTCGCTTCACTTCCAGGGCAGTCTGTATCTCTCAGCTTCGGCAGAAACGGCAAAATTCCCTGGAAGTCCAGTGACACTTCGCACTTTGCAGGGCAGAGGGACCAGAGGTACCCGGCAGCGAGCTCAGACCCTTCCCGCTTAGTTCCTCGGGGAGGAGGAGGGGAGGGAAGGATCAGCGGCCACGGGGCGGGACACAGGGGCGGACCACAGGGGCAACCAATCCTCGCCTTTCCCCGCCCCTTCTCCGTCTCCCTGACCTCTTTCCACCAACAGAGCGCCTCGGTGGGTGGTGCCTGTCACGGCAGCTCTCCCCAGTGCGTTTTTTTTTTTTTTT